CTTACAAGGCCTACACAAGCCGAGCCGATAATCGGTCAATTCCCTCTATATTAAAGAGGGAGGGCTTTCTTGCAAGTTTGCCTAGTGGCAGGTGCGACAGGCTGTTCATGTGCTCTGAATAGCAAGCGTAAGTCATTCAAGTGTCAAACCAGTCAGCAGGAAGCGCAAGCTTCCACGTTCAGTGCAGCTACACAATAATTTCTGTCTAAATTAGTTTGCCCTATTCCCTGCATAAGCCCAATGATGAGAAAGAGACAAACACGAGATACCTTAAGAGAGCATGTCTGAGAAAACCAGAACATAATATGTGCAAGTCGATCTCTCAGATTTCGCTCAAACTTTGCAGGTATGTTTGCTTTAGGGTGTAGATCGACATTCCAAAGTCCGCGCAAAATCTTTTGAAGGGAACCATGAAATTGGCATACCCCTCAATATTGGTCCAATATTGGCACGATTTATGGGTCTACAAACGAGCCACGGCACAGCGTACAAGAACAAGCTACGAACAAAACTCCATCCAGCCAACATTACCTCACCTTAGAAGAGTTCTTCGGGCAGCACCACTTAGGCACGCCAGCATCCCAGAAGACGAGGGCAATCATCCCTTGACGCCACAAATGATTGTCTTGAAAATAGCCAAATTACAAGCGCTGATAAAAGTGACTGTAATTTTGCGTGTAGTTTTTGGATTTTACTCCAAGAGGAATGAAGAAATCACGTGGATCGTCACGTGACGTAGAATAATGCTTTCTGGTGCACGACACAATGCACACGATCACGATTGTTCCTGAGGGGCTATTCGAAACGGACCATGAGGGAGGAGGTAAGATGCATTATATTTCTTGCATGCTCTGCTCAGAACATGCAGAAACTATTGTTATAACGCTAGGAGTATTGCATTGGCAAGAATTCTTTGAGATACTTCCTCTTGCAGTAAGAACAGGGATGCATTTTTTCACACTAACCTCGCTCATCCCGAACATGGTTCAACAGGAACTACGGCTAGTTTACATGCTGATGATCCACGTAGATCTGCAACAGCAAGGAATAACCGTGGTTCATGCATGCCATCATGCAAGGTCGCTTGGAGTTGACCATGTGCCAGCCCGAGGCCTACACTGTACTGCACTGTACTGGTTGCATGAAGCCGGGGTATGTGGCGCGCCCACATGGCAGATTTCTCACGTCATGAACAACGTGATTTGACCCTACTCGCCCTAGTCTCTGTGCTGCATGTCGAGGGAAAGTCCCGGCTGGAAGGCCTACAATTACAACACGACATGCGTGCTCTTGAGCTGGACATCAAGATGCACTTGATCCGATCTAGATCAACGGGTGATACAAACAGGGCACAAATCCAACCAGTGAAAACTTCATTGCCTTTAAGCGCAAGCGTAACGAAGTGAAATGTTTGTCACGTACCCTCCATCGTCAGTATGTACAGTCGGTTCATGCCACCCTGTCTTCCCATGATCGCCCTAGTCTCCATCAATTTCTCCGCCATCTCCGTAAGAACTGTAGTCGGGAGCCGATCCGATCAATGACAGCTTCAGACGGCACGGTAGCAACAGATCCCGCAGACATAGCAGACATATTGAACACGCAGTTTACGTCGTTTGGACTTCCTGACGACCCTACGTGGCCTATACCACCACTCACCCCTTCACCCTCAATACCTGCGTCCCTCCTATCATTGTCGACTGGTACAGTCCAAGTGAGGAAATATCTCCGTAATCTGAAAACTGGCAAGTCCCCTGGTCAAGACGGAATTACCAACGAAGTTTGGAGAGCTCTTGCTCCGTCTGTTGCCTATCCTGTGTCAATTATCTTGAATATGTCATTTCGTGAAGGGAAATTCCCAGCCATGTACATTTGCCTCCCTTTGTCTTTATAAACTTGCTTCCACGCACCCTCTTCTTGCCCGACATCAGCAGCATCTTTGTATCCTTGTGCAAAAAATCTTCCTAGCCCAAGTCCCGAAACATATTGCCAAGTACAACTGGTTTGTTACCACTAGACCAACACGCAATGCCTTATCACTGCCCCGAGCTAGTTCCTCCCTGTTTTTGAAATCCCCTTTCTTCTCAGCATACTCCCTTTGGTCTAACCTGCCTACTAGCATTAAGACATGCCAGGATATCAGGAAATTCAAAGTCCAGCTTTCCACACTGTCTCATCCGAAGTGATCCCATGTATTACTAATGTGCCTCCCTTTCTTTTTCTCTCCCTATCTCCTTTCCCTCTCTGACAGCATCTTTCTTTTTCTCCCTTTTAGCTTGCCGTGGTTGGCTATCACCTGACCTCTCATGTTTATTGGCAGTCTTCGGACGGGCCAGGAGATGTTGAATAAATAAATAAATAAATGTGGAAAACTGCGGTAGTCGTGGCCACCTACAAAAATAGAGGACCACGCACCACCCCCAGCAACTATCGCCCTATCTCATTGCTCTCTACGTTATCAAAAGTGTGCGAACGTGTTGTATATGACATCATTTATGATCATGTTCGCATTTCACTTTCGCCAGCACAGTCGGGCTTTTGTCGGGGTGACTCCACCAGGTACCAGGTTACCCGCCTCGTGCAAGACATCCACACCGCCCGGAACGCCCATAACCATGTTGGTTTAGTTTTCTTCGATCTCGCAAAGGCCTTCGACACTGTTTGGCACAGGGGTCTCTTAGCTAAGCTGCGAACAGTATATCGCATTGATGGCAAGGCTATCGGCTGGCTCTCATCGTATCTCTCTAACCGACATCAGCTTGTACGCCTCTCAACTGTGTTATCGGAGCCTTTACCCGTTACTTCTGGAGTCCCCCAGGGTTCAATCCTTGGGCCACTGCTATTTCTCCTGTATATTAATGACCTCCCCGATACTGCCCCAGGTGTCAGCCATTTCTTTCTTGCAAACGCTTGTTTTATCGTTGCTATATATTGCCCTTACTTGACTACTGTGATACTGCTTGGTGTGGCATAACTACTACTGTATTGAACAAGCTAGAAACCCATAACCGCATGCTCCTTAAAATCTTATTTAGCAAAGATCGTCGCTTTCCCTCCGCTAGTCTTTACGAAATTGCCAAGATCAGTCCCCTTTCCACTCGACATAAGTTCCACCTCTGTGTTCTCATACATAAAATATTACTAAATAAAATACCCTTGCATATGCAGGCTTATAATTGGTTCTCCGAAACACGGAACACCCGGAACTCACTCAGTCTCCCACGCGCTGCCTCCACCCTATTCACTAGATCCCCGATCTTTGCTGGCTATGTGTTTTGGGCAACATTACCAACGCAGGCCAAGACCAGCACGTCGATGGATAATTTTGTTGCTAAAATCTCTGCTCAATTATAGGTTTCATGTATATCCTGCTGGTTTGTCTCCTCCTTTGCCTTCTTTGCCTCTTATTTGTATTCTTTTATCTGTTTTACTGCTGTGGTTGGCTTTCACCCTTGTCTCAGTTTTATTGGCCGTCATCATGATGTGCCATGAGATAATGATATAAATACAAAAAATACAAAATACTTTGGCGTAAAATGAGACTGTGGTGCATACGGTACGGAGAATAGACGAGTTCAATGACTATCTTGCACGCATTTTTGTTGCATGGACATCATACGCATACAAATTTCTCGTGGCAAGTCCATATACAGCAGACCGCGGTGTTTTCCGCTGAAGCGAATCCGCAGAAGCGACAGTCTCGCTTCGAAAAATTTGGAGGAAGCGGATTGGAGTTTCCGCTGAAGCGGAAGTTCCGCTTTTCGCCGTCGCCATGCCATTTTTCGCTCCTGCGACCTCGCTTCAGCGTATACGCTACTTTCGAGTGCATGTGTGACCGGGCCCTAAGTGCATTTGGGCTTGATCAAGGTCACTCGGAACAACTGCTGAACCGTGATCTACCACGCTACGAGACCTGGCATTCTTGTGCCACGAGGCACGTGATTTCATCTTTCCTCTTGCAGTAAAATCCAAAAACTACACGCAAAAATTTAGTCACTTTTGCATCAACTGTTGCACCGAAAAATGTTTGTGGCGCAAGGAGAAGCTTGTCGCTTGGAGTGACAAGTGATCACCGCTGCTTTTCCTTGTCAGAGTCAACAATACACTTTGTTCTGCAGCGTTGGGAGTGGTGTTGGAGTAGAAATTGCTGACTAGACGTCGCGGAGGGGCGAGCTTTCCTGCGCAGGTATGAGTTTGGACGTATTTCAGAATGGTCGAGTGGAAAAATTCAAAATTGTTTATTTCAAGAAAACCCCAAAAGGATGATGGGGGACATGTCCTCAGTGCTAGAAAAGGTGTTCTACTATCTGCCGGTGTATAGTGTTTGCTAATTGAGGACGTAACTCGCTGTTTTATCAGCGCTTGTAAATTGGCTATTTTCAAGACGATCATTTGTGGCGTCAAGGGATGATTGCCCTCGTCTTCTGGGATGCTGGCGTGGCTAAGTGAAGCTGCCCCAAGAACTCTTCTAAGGTGAGGTAATGTTGGCTTGATGGAGTTTTCTTCGTAGCTTGTTCTTGTACGCTGTGCCGTGGCTCGTTTGTAGACCCATAAATCGTGCCAATATTGGGCCAATATTGTGGGGCATGCCAATTTAATGGTTTCCTTCAAAAGATTTTGCGCGAGCTTTGGATTGTCGATCTACACCCCAAAGCAAACCTACCTGCAAAATTTGAGCGAAATCTGAGAGACCGACTTGCACATATGTTCTTGTTTTCTCAGACATGCCTCTTAAGTTAAACATGATGTGTAGTCTGCGTAGACGCAATAAAATAAAAGTGGCAGTGATACGGTTCATCGCCACCAGATTTAAATATGCTCTCCTAGCCATGATTCTTCCAAACATTCTCCAGCTAGATCAACACTGCAGTGGAGAAATTCTTAAAGATAAACCTCAACTACAGAATTCTTACCTGTGCAATTTGGTAGGTTAGACAGGGTCCCGTTCAGCATGCAAGTGACGTTCCGCCCATTTTCAGTTGAAGTGTAGTTATCATTGCAAGCCACATACGTAGAATTATTCACTTTCAATCTCGGAATATCATCGAAGAGGGAGTTTCCTTCTTGAGCTGGGCAATGGGTTGCTGAAGATGGGAATAGTCGAGAAGAAAAAGGTAAAAGCACACTCTGCTGACAGTGCAAAGGAGTTGTGCAAATAATACTCCAAGGACTCATGAGGCGTTCACCAAACCAGGCGGATACATCAATGTGGAGAAAAAAACGGACGTTACATCACCTAACAGTGGTACATAATTACTTACGCACACAACCCGGACTGGGAGACCTTGTCCAGATTTCATCTGTACTGATACATGGGCAATTTATGCCTGGTATGTTAGACACAGTGATCCTGGCACATCTGGTAACACTGGCATTATTGCAAATCATGGAGCAATCTAGAAGGCAGCATATAGAACCCAAACAATATTCCAATGAAAATGATTCATCTCGTGATGACAGCTGAACTTACATACTTTTTTTAGATTTTTTAATTTCCCTGTACTTGGCCTTACTCCCTGACCCATCCCCTCTCATGAACATTTAAAATAGCATCCATAAACCACACAATTACAAGATGAAACACCAATCTGCAACTGGTACTTCCTCCGTATACAAAAATTTCGTGACTTTTTTTTGAAAGCTGCGCACAGCTCTGAAATTGTTCCGTTTGAATCAGAATAACACTCGTGGCATTGTCTAACCTGTTTATAAGCTATATACAAAGAAAAAAGCAACTTAGACGAATGAGATTGAGTTTTTTCAGAGTCTTCGTCTCTCATGTCATGGTCACCTGACGACGCTGACTCCGAATCGCCACCAGTCGCTGCTTCCGCTCGCATTTCGTTCAGATTCTTGTCACCTGCAGTGATGATCCGACGCTGGACTTTGGCTACGTCCTCTTCATCTCTAGAGCTGTGTACGAATCGGTGTCAACTATATTCAGTTGTTCCAACCCGCAACCTCCATTATGCCGTGAAACGAGTCGTACAAGCGCATCCACACGCTTAGCATTTTCTCGCCAGGATAATCCTCCCAAGCATTCTACAATGGTATCGAGGAGGTCCCTGCGATTCCCCTTGGTGACAAAGGAGGCGCCTGACTGGAGAGAGGCGACGAAAGCCAGGCCATCGACATTCTGATCCTGAGTCTGCGCTGATTGCACGACGACTGAAATGTTTCATCTTGCCGTGCCAGCGAAACAAATCGATGTTCTCACACTGAGTAGATATGGGACCGCGCACCGCAAGTACGAGCCTGGCCAGTTCCAGGGCAGCGAGTGCCGCGTGACTCCGTGTTCCAGCCACGAGCTACACTTCGTCACTGTGTCAGTTTCGAGCAAGTAGGTGTTAGTTTTTTTTCATTTGACTCTTGAGTTTCTGTCGGCAACGTCCTTACACCCATGGCGTACGTGGAGAATCTGTTCTGGATCAACCAAACTAACCTCGACGTGGGTTGTCGATGACAGCCTTTGGCGCCGTTCGTTGAGCAGGTTCTTGGTCAAACACCGTTCAAAAAAAGTCACGAAGTTATTGTATACGGAGGAAGTAGTAGCTACAGCTTCATGTAAGAAAAAAGCTGGTAAAACTCATATCAAATTCCACAGAAGCCTCTTAGTGCTCATTGTGTTAATACTGTATGAGATAAACATTGCGATGTCTTTTATAATACTGTACTACCATATTGTTCATCTGACTAATGAGGGAAACCAAAATGAAAATATCAGTATGCTGCGAGCAGAAACTGGACGGAATATTCCTTCAGAATTGGGAGTTCCTTGGACTACTGGGATACAGACTTACCCTCACACAATGGTGGACTGGAAAATATCAGTATGCTGTGAGCAGAATTGGTAATTCCTTGGACTACTGGGATACAGACTTACTTTCACACAATGGTGGACTGGGTTGCCACCTGCCGTTGCCCTGGCATGTAGACTGGGTTACTTCCATACTATTGTCAGACAGAAAACCTGTTCTGCACTCGATGGATACTGGGGTACCTGGTGGTGTGTCGAATCTGGCAATAGGTTTGTAATTGACTTGGCTGTCAGTGAGATTTGGACATTGCGCTAGACACGAAGAGACATAATTCAGGGCGGTCACTCAGAATAGGTGAAAATCTCAACGATACAAGTCCTGCAATGTTTAAATACCATTAGAATGAGAGAATATCTAGTAAGCCCGGGCTCATTTTGTGCGCACGGCGAGAGAGGTGCTTGACCAACTTGCGTTCGGGCTTATAGCGAGCAAAGTTTTCTGCTGTGGGAAACATCCTGTAGATGCTATAGATAGTCCGTTTATTGCTGACTGCATTTATTTTCTGAGGTCGTCAGCCAGGGTGGACGTGCTGGCCTGTCGACGGAACGACCCTGTGAAGAGGGGCGATTAAAAGGAGAAGCTGGGGACTGATACTTAGCGAGAGCAGCAGAGAGTTCAGACGAGAATCTCTTGCATGCGACATCAATACTTGTGTTACCAAGAAGCTCCCTCCAATCCACGGAAGTAAGCTGCTGGCGTAAACAGTTCCACTGGCCATTTGTGATCGTAGAGAAATGATAGCGGGGCGGTAAACTGCCGGTCAAGTCATCTGGCGTGGACGGCGAGCGCTCATAGGCTGTACCTGATGCAGGAGAGTACGTTGGTGCTTGGTTATGTTGCAGGCTAGGCGCTTCCATACGAACCAACACGATGTCGTGGTCAGACTGACCCAGAAGAGCAATAATGTCTGAAATGGAAACGCAAGGCTGCTCCTGTTCCGGATGGAGTGTGGTGAGTAGGGAAGTTGACTGACTGGGAGAGGGAAAACATTCTTAGCAGGCATTGCAGCTGGTGTCCAGCAGTGTCCGTGATATTGCCGTGCCAGTCACTACACTTGGCATTCAAATCACCCATCATAAACATAGAGGAAGTGGTGTGTCTGGTCGTCTGAAGAACTGTTTTCAGACAGCCCACAAATTTGTCAATATCAGTGGAACACGCATTTGGTGGCCTGTAACCGCATCCAGTACTGAGAGACTCAGGAGGTGCAGATGATGAGGTCGATGCATGATCTGTTATTTCAACCCACGTGGCCTCAAATGTGGGGAGGTGTAGATCAGTGCGATGTTTAACTGTACCTGGAAAATCCGATCGGACTAGAAGAGCGACACCTCCAAATCCCCTGAATCTATCAGTGCTCTTCTTGACATGACAGTAATTCGTATAAAAAAGTTTTGATTTCGATCACGAGGGTCCAAAACATTTTGAAAGAAGGTAAAGCCCAGTATCTGCAGGCTGTTTTTAGATTTTTGTAGTACGACACTTCTGGTGGGAGAGGCGGTGTTGATTACATGCGTAAATTCCCAGACTAAATAGATACTTCGAAGTAGGTGCCCAACACTCTGACCAAGTTGCTCGCAATCTTTCAGCACTAGAGAATATGTTACCTACTTCAGTAAATTGTATGTACTACAACCGTCATGAGGAAATCATGTGTTTTGGACAGCATGAAGGTTTGTCAACTACACTCTACTGTGACAGTGATATCTCAAGTTTTCAGTCGCCTCATCACACTTGTTATGCACTCAAACCAAATAATTCTGAACAAGTACAAACCTTGGATAGTGACAGAGACAGTGGTAGGTATTGGCTTGGAAGCATTTACACATCTGTCAATTACACTTTGTAGACGTGCGGGAGTGGAACCATTTGCAACACAATCAAAGTTTGTAGTATACGATGTCGTACAGGTTACATTGAAGGTAACACCTGATGTATCACTTTCTGTAAACACGATCTGGGAATCATTCTGCACGAAGGTGAACGTTGAGTTCACCATATTGGCAGGCCCAGTTGTCTGTATCATCTGTGAGTCCGGAGATAATGTTGAGCTCCAAGATCCGGTGAGAGGGAAGTTTCCACTTGACATGCATGGTATGGTGTGAGTATCACCAGTGTAGGTCAATGTCAATGGTGTAGGGGATGGTCCTGACTGAACTTGTTGAGCTGTACAAAAGGGACACATGAAAACAGTATAATGAAATGTATGAAAAGACTGCCCAGGTCAGTACAGTCTATAATGCACCCAAGAAGACAAAATACACAACTGATCGTGCAGTGACGGGAAAAGCCGCTTCCTGTACGATAAAGGAATGTTTGCAGACGTAGCCTCAGCCAGTGGCGTATACAGATGGAGTGAGCTTGCAAGCCCTCACGCCTGAAAAAAGACTCTCTGAGACACAGACTTTGGAGGGCAGAAACCTCGAACAATAATTTGTCGAAGATATTATTACAAGTAAGTAGGAACAGAATTTTCATTGGAACTCAGAGTTTCACGCTTGCCCTGTCATCAGGAAACACGGTTCTGGTATGAAACGGGGAATACGGTCAAGGAATACAGTGGAACCACGCATATACATGCTCTCGTATCCGCACATACACACACGTACCCGTGCACGTACCCGTGCGCGCGCGTGCAATAAACAACAACACACAAACCTATACAATCACTCCAACACACGACCACACGTCATCAATCACCCAGACACGCACCGAATTCCACACTCTCACACACTTTCACACATACGCTCACATTAATCCTCTCTCACGCACACACACAAACAAACACAAACACCTCAACCTTGACCTTGACATATAGCTGCCATTAAACAGCTAAGCTTCACTCATGAGGAGGGAAACAAAGGGGTAGTAGCATCATGGCGTCGCGGCAGAACATCCGGCCTTATGTCGTTGCAGATCTTGCTGCCTGCGTTACCTCTCGCCGTACGCACAGGAGAACTTGAACTCAAGACCTTCCCATCGCTGTTGGTCGCTTGCCACGCTCGCAATTGCGTCGCTTAAATCCACCAGTAGATCGAAAGCTCTGGTCACATGACGAGCAGTGGAATTAGCAATGAGCAACTAGGCGAGGTGCAGATAGTCCGATGGCTGTTGGACCTGCGAGAGGGTACTTATGTATCTTCAGCCCACCAGCACTCCTGAACCACCTACCACAACTTTGACACGACTTTGCACCAGGCTGTTGGCTGACAGGAAGTTGACGGGCTGCACTGGACTTATGCCGCCTGTGCCCCGGCAGACTCACT